TTAATGATCCTGACTACACAGAAAAATGAGACTGTGAATCCACCGTGGAGGGAAGGGAGGGTATGTCTGCAGTACAGGAGATTCTATAAGCGTCTCTTAGTACCACCAAGCCCTGTGATTAAAGTCAGTGAAAGGCTACAACAACCCAATCCAGGCAGGGCTACCGATCGTCCAGAAAATTCAGGAATGAAGGGTTGGGTCACTCCACCAGATAAAGAACCACAACCGGCTGAGGTGCTTGCTCACAGCAAATGTAATATAGAATGAGCAGCAGAAGTATATAGTTATACCAGTTATAATACCAGCTATGACCATGGGACCAGTTACAGAAATAAGGACTCTAATTCTTCTTTTCTTAAGATTTTATTTGTTTATTTATTTACTCATTTATTCAGAGTGCAAGTGGGGGGGGCAGTGGCAGAGGCAGAGAGAGAATCTCCAGCAGACTCCATGATGAGCACGGAGCCCAGTGGGGACTCGATCCCACGACCCTGAGATCATGACCTGGGCCAAAACCAAGAATCCGATACTTAACCGATTCAGCCACCCAGGCATTCCAGGACTCTAATTCTTATGAATATTTCTTCCTTATTTTGTTATGAATATTTTTGAGTGTGTCTGTCTGTATGTTTGTTTTCTTCCTTCTCTTAGTCCTTTATCATAGAACATAAGATGTATAGAGTTCGCACCACAGTATTGAAGTTACAGGTTATCGGGGAGAAGAGGGAACATCTCCAAGGACTTTGTATCCTCCGCTAGGGAATGTATTAGTGCATTTTAAGTTGTATGTAGGATAATTGTATCATGTTAGACAGAAGTAAAACCTTGTTATTAAAGAGATGTGTATGGGTCCTAAATTGGCAAGGGTTAATTGTGATGGTTAATTATATGTGACAAGTTGCGTAGGCCAGAGTACCCAGATAGCTGATTAAATACTTGTCTGGATGTTGCTGTGAAGGTATTTTCTTATATGTGATTTTCACTTAAATTTTGAGAAAAGCAGATTATTCTCCCTAATGTGTATGGGCCTCATCTAATCAGTTGAAGGCCTTAAGAGAAAAGACTGAGGTCTCCCAAGTAAGAAGGAATTCTGCCTCCAGACAGGGTTGAGACTCAAGCTGCCACATCAGGTCTTCCCTGGGTTGCTGGTCTGCCACCAACCTGCAGAATTCAAACTTACCAGCTTTCACAGTGAACAAATTCTTTAAAATAAATTTCTCTCTTTCTGTGTCTGTCTCTGTCTCTATCTCTCTTTTTCTCTCTCAATACACACACACGTATCTTATAACCTTAATACAGAAAGCACTTAATATTTGTAATTAAGAAAAGATGAATAAAGCATGGAAGATGGGCATCATATTTACTCAGAAATTATTGGTATGTGCCTTGGTTATTAATTATAAAATTTCTAACAAAATTCTCTAGTAAATTCATAATAATGCACCTTTAAAGAAAGTACAGAAAAGGACTAAGCTATAAACTAAAACCTAGAAAAAAAAAACAAAACAAAATGAAAATCCAGTAACTACATGAAATAGGAAAAGTGATAATAAGAATAAAATTAATCAAATAAAAAACATACACTATTGCAACTAAGAAGGAACGTATAACCAGACATTAACAAAATACGAGAATGTGATTTGTTTCTCCTGGAGGTAATGGAGCCAGGATGTTAGGTTTCTCCAAACGCTGAGCAAGCTGGTCCGGGTTTGATCTTCCCACAGAGAGCTACCAGCTAAAGAGCTCATCCATGGTTTTCTTTCCTTTGGGGAATTGTTGATAGACCATCCATCACACACTTAGCATAAGCCTGAGCATAAAGAATAACAGTATCAACCAAAATTGTGATTATTAAGAATGACTCTCATCCCCAAGCTAGCACAGTATTATCTCACAGAGACAAGCCTGGTTAGGAAGCTCAGAAGCAAGGTGACTCACGTTGAAATTCACGCCAGGTACAGGGCACGTGACTCTGGGATCAGCTGTTCCTGGGATGGATTGGGAGTTCTGACTACCACTCTTATCAGGGTAATGAGTGGGTCAGATTGAGCAGAGTAGAGTTGCATAACAAAGAAATAAATGTGGACACTCATGGCTGGCTGATGTATAAAAGAGCAATGGAGCACCTGATGGCTCAGTTGGTTAAGTGCCCGAGTCTTGATTTCAGCTCACGTTATGATCTCAGGGTTAGCAGGGCTAACCAGTGCTTAGCAGGGAGACTGCTGGAGATTCTCTCTCTCTCTCTCTCTCTCTCTCTCTCCCTCTGCTCTTCTCCCCGCTCGTGCTCTCTATCTCTCTCTCCTAAATAAATAAATAAATCTTCTTTAAAAAAAGAATAAGAAAGGCTGCACAATTAAACAAAATGAAATGCCAGTGAGTCATCATGACATCTGAGTTTTCAAAATGATCATGAAGAAAGTAGAGAACAACCCATCCTCTAAAACATGCCAAACACTGGGAAAAACAAAACAAAACTGTCCCCTTTAAAAAACGTTCCCTTGGAAAGTATTTTCAAGGACATCTTCTCTTACCCACTCATTGGATTTATTCTGAATATTTATGGCACGGGTATATAATGAATGCATTTACATAGAGCATGAATATGAAAACGGGCAGGAGCGATCAACCTGGCATCAGAGAATGCATTGCAAAGGCAACGTCTGGTGCTTCAGGATTTCTTGGCTTCAGGCCTGAATGTCAATCTGGCTGTGATCGTGATGGTATCTGTGGGGTGCTGTCCACTTACGGACACGGCTAAGGGGCCAGAGCCACTGACTACGGCTTACCTCCCCTGGTCTATTTAGGGAGAGGGGCAGGGCTCAGAATTGTTAAGTAAATTGTTCATTTTTATTAAAGCAATAATCCAAAAGAGCTTTCTTTAAAGAGTTTAAATACTATTTTCCATTTCTGATGGTATGTACCACTTGAAGGGACAGTCCGCACTTAAGCTTCGGTGGGACCCCTGGGGATGATCCATGGGTGTCTGCTGTCGAATAAAGTTGCAAGAACCTCTAGGAGTTTCACAGAAACACACGTTTGCTCAAAATAATTTTTTAAGTGAAATTGGATTAGGAATTAGTTTCAGTCCCTTTCTGGCTCACATTGGCCGTTTTTTAAAAAGGGGTAGAGAGAATGTAGCAACAGCACTGATTTATCAATTTCCGCATCCAACCTGTGAAAATTCACGCTCTTCTATGTTCTCCAGAAAAGGACAAACTATCATTATGATCATATGAAGCATGACCACAGAAAATTCACATACTTTCATGTAGTCAACTGCACAGGTGGAAACACATGTAGCCAGCCATTCGGCCAGGTAACTGCAGCTGGGGTCACGGGAGCCAGGTGAGTTAGTTTGAGTCAAGTCTGCCCACGGAACTGCATTTTAAAGGAAACTTGCTGGAATGGAGCATAAACATCATACTGGAAGCATCAACTGAGAGAGGAGCCTGGGTGACTTCCTGCTCCTGCCTCAAACAAATATAAGTAAATATCTCACTGTCAAGGAAGATCCAGGCATCATTCCTTTTCTCTTAAATGTCTGAATCAGAATCTGTAAGTGCCTTGGTGTAATAGAATGGGTCCTACCAACTTGATATTCAGCATGTTCCAATATACTGGTAAAACCTCCTTCAGATCCACTTCAACTTGATTGGTCTTCTGAGGATCCAAGAAGCTGATTAGTACCATTTCAGAAAAATCTCCTAATAGGGGAGGGGATGCTACTCAGGTGGTTAAGCATCTGCCTTCGGCTCAGGTCATGATCTTCAGGTCCTGGGATCCAGCCCTGCATCGAGCTCCCAGCTCAGCAAGGAGTCTGCTTCTCCCTCTCCCTCTGCCTCTCCCCCTGCTTGTGCTCTCTCCGTCTCTCTCAAATGAATAAATAAAATCTTTTTAAAAAAAATCTCAGGGCCCCTGGGTGGCTCAGTCAGTTTAGCATCTGCCTTCAGCTCAGGTCATGATCCCAGGGTCCTGAGATCGAGGCCCATGTCGGGCTCCCTGCTCACAGGGGTCTGCTTTTCCCTCTTCTCCCTGCTGGTGCTCCCTCTCTCTATCTCTCTCTGTCTCAAATAAATAAATAAAATAAAATCTTTAAAAAAAATCTCCCAATATCATATATAGTGAGGGACGGTCACTTCTTTACTTTGTCAATTAAAAACTAAAATAGCCCAAATTGTTGAACCTTTCGTCACATATCCTATTTTGATCCTGATAGTCATTTGGTTGTCCTTCCTGGGATCCATTTGGTAGGTTTTTTTCATCATGTTGATGGTTTCCTTTTCTGTGCTCCATACTTTTTCAGTGCTCCAAAAACATATACCTAAGCCTATTTTTAAAATTTAATAGCTCCTCCTGAAATATGCTGGAGTAGATGACAATGACTCACACCTCACCAGCATATATGAGCGCACCTGTGATCCTGCCCCTTCTCCAGCATCATTTCTTAGTTTAGCCAATCTGATGATTCAAAACACATTACCATATCCTCCAATGTGTGCAGTTTGATCTGTCAATGGAAGTCTTGGGTAGTAAGGCAAAGTGAATGCAACTTAATTAATCATAGCAAGCTAAAAGGATATAGATTATATGCAGCAAAACCATCCTCTGTGTGGTGAAAAGGACAACAAACATCCTTCAGATCTCATCTCACTGGCTTTATTTACAAAAATATTTATATTGGAACCTAAACTACCCTCTTAGATACTAACATGAATATTAAGAAGGTTAGTTTCCTGGGCAACATTTCACTGAAAGCCTGGGAGAAATGCAGAGTCATTTGGAAGTTCTTGTCTATTTCAGGGAATGTTCTATAATCTGAGACTTGTGTCTCTCTGACCCGGAGTTTGAGCAGGTCCTCAACTGACCTTCCCGGATTTGAATAGATGACACAGAGGCACAAAAGGGCTCAGTGTTACAACCTGGGCTATTGAGTGAGCACTCCCGGGTAAAGCATTTATCAAACCCTGGCGTTCATCACAGAAAAGGTAAAATGGTATACCATGTGTTCTGTCGGCACAGATTTTATAATGTATCAGATGAAGCACAAGGAAGAGGAAAACAAGGGTGGAATCCACCTCCGTGACCGTCATTGGCGTTACGAGGCATGTAAGAAGCAGGATGTCACACCAGCTCCAAAATAGTGCATTTCAAATGTCTGCCCAGTGTAAATACATAGAAATATTGTGGTTTTTTCTTATAAAAAAATACATATTACACATAAATATTTAGATCAGTGTTTATAACTAAACAAGCAAAATGCTCCAAACATGAAAGTCCTATCTAAGTTTCTTCAAAAGCAGCTATATATCTCAAATGTTTACTTTTCCCCATGTTTTATTTATGAAAAGTTCCTTTCTATCCATCACTTGGCGAGCTCAGGGCTTGTTAGCCTGAAAGTCACTGGCCTAAATTCAAATACATTTGCACCTCTTCTTCCTTGCTTTACTATAAACTCATCCACAAGTGTGAGGTCTGGTCTGAATCTGTTTTCTGTCGAGTCACGGTCACTTTGCCCCAAGAGCCTGGATTGTGGGCCATTCAGACCCAGGTCCTGCTGCCTGGCACAGTCAGAATGTAGCCAGGATAAGAGCCAGAGCCCAATACCTTCATTTACTGCTGAAAATCTGCAGCCAAGAAGAAGCAAGTGCCATCCACTAAGAATCACAGATCAGCATTTTGTTATTCTAGGTTTGGAAACTGTCAGAAAGTGATCTGAGTTGAATCCAGCTTGTCATAAACAGGGCAGTGGGGAGGCCCCAGCAATGCACAGCCTCAAAAGTGAAAGTCACATGGAGATCTTTAAGGTGTTGAGAACAAAGACTGCTCTAGAGCACAGAGCATCCTTACAATCAGTTTTTCTCCTCCCTTCCTGATGAGGCTGTTGGCTATTTTATTTTTGCTATGTTCGATTTTATTTCCAATGGAGTTGTTTACATTACCATGTGTCTTAGTGTTTAAAAGTTACAAGTTGACATTTATAAATTATATAAAAGATGTAAGGAATAATGAAAAACAGCCATAGACATCCCAACCTGTCTAAGAAATGCAGGATTATCCACCTCTTTGGAAGCGTCTGTACATCCCTCCGTTCATCAATCCTGTTCATTATTCTCAGTGTTTTCTTTATATTTTTACCAAAGTAAATGCATTGCTAAATCATATTTTATTTTGTATTGTGTTGAAACTAGAACAAAAGGAGTCATCCTGTACAATTTTTCTGCAAGTCGCTTTTATTTCTTGCTCAGTAGCGTGTCTACATAATTTACTTTTACAATGTTTTGCTGTAGTTCATTTATTTTAACTTGAGCACGATCCTCCAGCATATTGCTGAGCACATACCTTCCACTCGATTGGACTGGGTTGGTCCCCATTTTTTGCTATTACAAAATGGCATGGTTTCTCTAGCTCTAGTTGTTGAATCACTCTGCCAAAAGGCCCGCTCTCTTCAGCCTGGACCATGTCATCATAAAGCATTTCCCAAAGCGATGGCTCTAACTCACAGCCCCACCACAGTCAGAACACATGTGCACGGGCATGACATCATTACATAGGCAGCTTTCCATGATGTCAGCAAAACACTCCGTATCAAAGACATTCTCAGAACTGAAACCACTTTCTAGATACCAACGTGAATATTGAGAAATTTGGGGTCTTGGGTAGCAGTTCGCTGCAAGCCTGGGAGAAATGTGGGATCATTTGGAAGTTCTTATCTACTTAAGGGAGTCTTCTCAGAAAGAAAGGAGAAATGGGGAGAAAGACACAATATTTGTAGAAATAATGGCTGAAACCTTACCAAATTTGATGGAAAAATCTTAGTCTATAGATTTAGTATTTACCTGCAGTAAAATAAAAACAAGCAGATCTGCTCTTAGATACATCACAGTCAAACCATGGAAAAACAAAGAAGTTTTGAAATTGCAAGACAAAAACTTCTCTTCATACACCAGAGGACCACATTAGATTAACCACCGACTTCCAGTCAGAACCAGTGGGGCAAAGGCCCTGAAATGACAATAGTCAAAAAGCTGAAAGAGAAAAAGTTGTTCAGGTGCTTGGGTGGCTCACTCAGCTGAGCATCCAACTCTTGATTTTGGCTCAAGTCATGATCTCAGGGTCCTGGGATTGAGCCCCGTGTCAGGCTCACTGCTCAGTGGGGGGTCTGCTTCTCCCTCTCCCTCATCTCCTCCCCCTGCTCATGCTCTCTCTCTCTAAAATAAATAAATAAATCTTTAAAAAAATTGTCAACCCAGAATTCCATACCCAGCAAGTCTGTCCTTCAAAAATGAAGGCAAAATAAAGATATTCCCAGATGTACAAACTTATAAGAATTACTAAAGGAAACCTTTGAAATGAAACAAAACAAAACAAAACAAAAACTTGATTCTTAGATTTAAAAATGCTGGATTTGTTAAAGAATGTGGGTGAACATGTATATGTGTGTCTATACAGAATGTTCTGAAAGTGTTTCTACAATTTACTCTCCACAGATCTCAGAAGCAAAAATACTAGAAACATAGGAAAAACATACTTTGGAGGTTTAACTATTTAAATTTGTTTTATACTTATTTAGCTTAGTAAATGTTGAATAATCATTAATTTTCTCAGTCCCTCTAGCTGAAGATAGTGGAGATGAACTGAAATAAAACATCTTAAGATGTTTTCAAAATATCCATGGCTAAAAAAGCACAAAAGAAATTTGAGTTTCTTTTGTACTAGGGTGATACAAGGCAAAAACATATTATGTGGGGAGATTGAAGCTGCAGACAGAGGGCAAAAGTTCCTGGGAATTAACCAAAATTCCAAGGACAACTCCAGATTTTTTTAAAGCTATGAAACTGATGGAGCGCAAGTAGAGATCTCAAGGGAACCAGGTATTATCTGAGTTCCAAGTAGGATGTATAGCAAGTTGACAAAGGTCTATCTCTAGCAGGGTGAGAAGGTAGGAGTGTCAGGCCTGGGAGGGTGGAGGGATGATGGAGCTACAGGGCTGGGTGGTGGGAAGGGGCTGTGGTCCAGCTACTTGTGTCCCCTACCTGCCCTCAAGAGCCCTTTGTGACCAGACCACAGCTCTGTGATGTGGGCCTAGGTTTTGTGTCCGCAAGCACACGCCCAGTGCTCAGTTGCCTGAGGGCAGCAGTGCAATCTGGTACTAATGAATTTCAGAGGAAAGAGATGGAGAATTGCCTCTTCCCTCAGAAATGCATTACTGGTGGTTGGCTGAGCTCCAGTCCCACTTCCTGGGCACTTAACATCATCCTCGCCTTCCTGTGTGGACTGGGGCTCTTCTTCCTATTACTATCCTACTTCCAGACTAATCCGTCCTTACCACCACGCAAGAAACACAGAAACATCAGGAAGGTAAGGAACCCTTGACCCAGACCCAGCAGAGTATGATTCTATCTCCTTTTGTATTACTATTTCCATTTTTCTGAATTAATGGAGAGATGGGAAAGAATAGAACATGTATTCTCAGGAAAGAATAGAACACCATTCATCCAGGCATAAACCAGACTAGGCAGGGGTTAGAGGGGCACAAGGATTTCTACCCAAAGATCTCAGGCCAGGAGTCCAGGTGTGGTGGAGGGCTCCAGGACAATGTCCCAGACACAGTGACCAGTGGCCGAGGACCGGCGGCTAAGAGCTGCATCTCTAGCAGAGGTCAGGCCCCTGGGCACCGGTTCACCAGCCACCTTCCCAGGGCAGGTGTCTCAGGTGAATGTTCCTCTGTCGGCGCTGATCGAGGGCAGTGCTGAGCCCAGGAGGCCCCAAGTAGCGGCTGGAGTGGGGCTCTGGCCTCGGGAAGCGGGGTCCTACGTGAAGGAGCTCAGATGCACCCACAGGTCTGGGAATATGTGTGTTTCTTGAGCAGAGGAACAGTGACAAAGAAATTTCTCAGAAAATCCTCCTGTACATTCTTCAAAGAAGGAAAACTGAAAACATTTTTATCCATTTTGAAAAGGAAATGAGTAAAATGATAGAAAACCACAGCCCCCCTTAGTTAAATGTAGGAAGTCACATTGTTCATGAGCAGCGAACATCTGCTGCTGGGGGTGGGGGTCCCAGCCTCCCCGTGTTCTCTCATCTCAGTATCAAGCAAAACCATGGAGAAGGAACAACAGAAGCAAGAAGAAAAACCAGACTCTGAAAGGTGAGCATCTGCCACTCAGCCCTGCGCACCCCAGTTACACCATCCCCCTCTGCTCTGAGGGCCCAGCCCCACCATCTCCAGGACACCAGGGCCTGAGCCCATCACTCAGGAAACAGAGCCCTGGGAGGGGGAGGGGCTCCTAGGAATGGGGAGGGGCTCTTGGGGGGGGAGGGGCTCCTGGGAGGGAGAGTGGAACCCCGATGCTTCCAGATTCTGGGCCAGAACAAAGCCCTGAGGGGTTGGAAATGGGTGTCGCCCAGCACGGGCCCCAGGGCCTGGACTGGGAGGCGGGACCTCCAGCTCCAACTGTGGACAAATTGCCCAACTTTGCTCAGATTTCTCTGTGAGGCGACCCGGTCCTTTCTCCCCCAACAAGGTCACGAATGGGGAAGCACTTTGTAAAGGACAAAGCAATCCCCATCATGGGCTTTGCTATCACTGTGCAGGCACGCAGCCTTGGACACTGATGTTTGGGGCTCCCGAGTCTAATCCCTCAAAGGTCTCCCCTAAAGGGACATTGTACTCGGCCTCCTGTAAGACCCCTGGGCCCCCGCCTTCAGCTCTATGACCCGGTCTCCTGTTTCCAGCTTGCAGAGATTGCCTGCAAGAACTGGAAGAGGTTCAGGACCTGTTTTCCCTTCTGCAAAGGTAAAGAACCTTCCCCCTTCTCTCCTGGGTGCTCCTCCCAGAGTCTATGGTGTGAGCCCAGGGCTGCAGGCACCCTGGGGCTGTTCTGGGGGTCTGGGAGGAGCCACGGGGACAGTGTGGCTAAAGCCCTGGGACGAGGGACAGCAGGAGAATTGTGAAGTGGGTGTGGGAACGTGGAGGGCCGTGGGGCCCACCCTCCTGACCCCCCTGCTCCTGGCTTCGGCTCACACCTCCTGTCTTCCACAGCCACCTGGCGAGGGTCTCTGACCAGGGGCACTTTCAGCTCTTACATCGAGCGGCCCCTGGGCAGGTGCGCAGAGGAGTGCCTGCTGGAGCCCATCAGCCATGCAGGGAGCCTATGGAAGATGCTCCCACCGTGGCCCCATCACCTTCCCCCGCTCCTCTGACGGGACACCCTCTACCCCGGACCTCCTCAGTTTCTGTTCATTCACACTCCTCCCTGAGTACTTCCTGGCCATCGGAGCCTTTCCTTCCCCCAGATGGCTTTTCACACCAGCCACTTGCTCTTCCCCCCTCCCCACCATGGCTCCCTCCTTCAGAAGCCTGCCCTCCGCCTCTGACAGCCTCCTTGGCCCTGGAGCAGCCAGACTCCCCTCTGACTCTCCCTCAGTGTGACTCAATGGCACCCCCACTGCACCCCATCCCACAGAGCTCGTCTCCACACACCCCTTGGTTAGCTTCTTCTGTCCCAGCCATCTCGGGCCTGGGCCGCTCAAGCTGTCCCATTTCAGCCCTGTCCTGGTGGCAGGCGGCTCCCAAAACCTGGACCCTCTCCACCTCCACACGCTTGGAGTCCCATCAAGAGCCTCTGGCCCACCGCCTACCAGAGGCCTTGTTCTGGGGAGACCCCACACACAGACAGGGAGAGACTGGAATCCCCCCTTTCATCAACCTTGACATCCAGAAGCTTCTGGAGATACTAATCGCCAAGAGAACAGATCTGAAGACCCAGAAGGAGAAGGAAGAGAAGGAAGAATCAGACTGCCACCTGACCTCTTTTGGGAGAATGTTCAAGTCGCCAGGTGACAAGCAGGACACCATGGGTGACCAACACTTCTGGAGCTTGAGAGGCAAACCAAAACAGCCGCTCAGTCCTGAGAAGCCCCCACATCCCAAGACTTCGGGGGACAATTTACAGCAGAAATGCAACCAGTTCTTCTGGGGTCTCCCCTTTCTGCACAGTGAGTCCCTGGTGGCCACTGTCGGCGTGGCTGATTCCCCACTGGAGTTCCCATCTGTCCAATTCAATGAACTCTCTCATGCCTTGCCACTCCAAATTCAGGACAACATAGCTCCACATCTTTCACTGACCCAGTCATTATCTGACACTTTGGCCCAGCCCCAACCCTTCACCCTGGACTTGTCCCAGTCCCAGCCCCTGCCTCTGGCTCAGCTCCAGCACCTGCCTCTGGCTCAGCCCCAGCCCCTGCCCCTGCCTCTGG